AGTCAACGGGAATCAGACTTTGAGGATTACTGCGACGGGACTAGACCAGGGTTACTATGTGCAAGGTGTCAGGATCAATGGGAAAGAGTGGACAAAGAACTGGTTCGAGCACGAGGATCTCATGGTACAGGGCGGGACTATTGAGTTTGAATTAGGTCCCGAGATGAAGAACTGGGAGACGGGTAGCGTCCCACCGTCGCCGGGACATGTCCGGCTGTAAGCTGACGTGCAATTGCGTGTACGAGTTGTCTCCTTAGGGCTGGCTCACATGACCTCGCCTGACTTTCATAGGAGCCAGAAGGGTCCGCAGCCTTCAAAATGTCGCTCTTTACGTGTTATTAGCTACCGCTCATAAGGGTTAAGTTTCGAGCCCCAAATCTGCTCTATTGGCATCGTTTAATGAAGAAGACGTTGAGATGAACGGGGAATCAGTATCAGCGAAGCCTTTGATACAGGGTTCCGTATGTTAGCATCTAGATGTGGTCAATTGCCCAATCATGGTCGTGTGCCTCGATAGTAAAACGGGATTACACTGCAGCAGCAGACTGGTTATCTGCTTGATTATATAATAAAAGTCAAGACATCATCCGACAAAGCAGTGCTGACGAACAGCGTCCGTTGAATTAGTCGCTGGCTTAGGTTGTATTGTGTGATAGATTGCGTCACTGGCGCTCTAGATGGTTTTAGTGTCCGATCCTTGGAGGGGAATCATCACATGCGATCGAGACTCGAGTCTCGGCATTAGAGAGTATTAGAGAGAGAATCAAAGACCAAAGCAGGTACGCGACCAAGACGTAAGGCTCATGGCAGTAGTTTAGTGCAACCTATGCACAACGGACCTTTTAACGATAACCCCTCTCTGGACTGCGAGTAATAGCAGAATCGACAGGAGAGCCCCTCTTCATGTGAGGGACAGAGAGACAGAGATAGTCTTCTGCGCCAATCCCGAGCCAAATTGACCAATGCGCACGCTCATTGGTAGCCGTAGCCGGAAGATTTCCCAGTTTCAAGATTCGGGGCGGGCTAAAGGTACATGGAAGACGGTAATCGCTTCTTTGTCCCCCTTGTCCAGGAAGACGTGCGATTGACGTCAGCGCGGAACAATCGGATATTTAGAACGATGGAGGGACAACGAGGAGGAAGTTATCGTCCACCCCATCTCATCTTATATCTATTCTGTGGTCCGCCGACTCTTCCTCTCCTTGAGGTGCCTGTCTCTCGTTTCTTTGAGTTGAGAGCCAATCTCAGCTCACTCGGTCAGATCCTCGGTCTCGGCATCTACACGGCACCATTGCCACACTTGTAGAGCGATACTGGTTCGATAAAATCATCGAGTGGATACTCTCGCCTCCCGTACCAGATATCTGAGATCAAATATCGAAATTCCCAACATGGTAAGTTGTTTGCCTCCTCATCTCTGGATGACTCCGCATCGGCCCGAGTTACGGAACCATGGATCTGACCCTCACATAGGCACCTGTCCTGTCCAACATCCTCCAGGCTCGGCAGTCCACCACCTCATCCGACAGCTGCAATTGCCCCAATAGCATCTCAGGCGGTGGCATTGCAGGTATCGTCATCGGCACCATTGCCGGCACCCTGCTGCTCATCTGGCTCTTCCGGGTCTGCTCATTGCCTGGAGCTTGGGGAGGTGGAGAACCCGATTATGGATACAGCGGGGGAGGAGGGACGGAGGTCCGGTCGACGCATCGTCGAAGACGGAGTAGTCCGTCTTATGTGGAATATGTCGAGAAGCCGAGCCGTTCGCGGAGACATCGGGAGGATATTCGGCGGCCGGCCAAGGTGTATCTGAATTAGGAGTCTAGCAGGTGTTTTGGCATCTGTTTCCGGCGGCGATCTGGTATGATTGTATGTGTAATGATAATGAGGAATGATCGGGGTCATGAGATGTCATGATGAGAAGGATTATGGGTATGATATGAATTACTGGGATTGGAGTTGGGGATTGACATTAATGAAATTGTTCTGTTGTGGTACAAGTGTCTATGGTGCACTTTCTGTCGTACTGTGTAAAATGCAATATATATTAATGTGGTTTGTTTGATATATATTGTCCATGGTTCGTTACTGCATTCGATTCAAGGCATTAGGTGGGCCATGGCCATTAAGACGAGAACTCCTATTAGATATGGAACATGAGATCTATGCCTGCACATCTCCTGAACTATTGACAGGATGGATCCCCTTCTAAATATATCCCTTGAATTTTTGATAGCCACCATGCCACGTTACACAGTTTACATATAAAAACTATCAAAATTTGGGTGGGATTCTAGGGATATGACTCGAGCGTGGAACCGTAGGCACAGACTCAACTCACACCAACCAGAAACAGGACGGTCCAGTAGACCACAGACTATTGGGATCAATTTATCCTCGACAGAAACCTCTAGGCATCATCATTCCGGCAGGTACCTGTGTTTTTGAAGGATTATTAAAGTGTTAGTGTGTTACTCGTACACCCACAGGGCACAAACACCATAAAGTTAGGTCCTTACATAGGGAAATAACCAACACCCCTACTGATTAATGAACGGAGCCATCACTTTTCACCTGCTTGGCAGGGGTTAGCCTGCTCTTATCGTAGTAGCATTACTAGCCAATCATTACTCCGGAGCCGAGAGAAAACCCCAATGCGTATTAGACCATGCCGCATTCGGCAAGGCTCAGGAACAATTCTGCGGACAGCAAGAAAGCAACTTACCGAGACAGGCTAGTAGCACATCTGCACTTACCCTAAAGCGGACTAGACCACAGTTCGGCCCCACTGTCCAAGAGCAGCTGTTGGTCAATTGGGGCCATGTTTTACCCCTGAAACCAGCTTAAGTACTTGTTATTCATAGCGCTAAACTACATAGATAGCTAGTAGCAGGTACACTGCTGGCTGCAGTCTGCGGTCTGCAGAAATGATAGTGCAGAATGAGACTCGCCAAGTTGCTGGACACTGCGGCAGGAGAAAAAGTGGCTGATGCTAATAAAATTAGTCCATCCGTTTTAATATACTGGTCGACTAGTCTTCTAAAGTCATGCCCGTCTCCGGTCTCTCTCTCCTCTGTTCGTCTCAGATTCCCCTCCGGATCCTGTCGTTCTCTTCCGTTTTGCTCTATCCCGTATAGTATCCTTCTACTTGCGGGTGGGCTGAACACTCCTCGTGCGACTCTATCGCACGTCCATTCCTTCATCCGGATTCTGTCGTTCTTTACTGGCCTCGGCCATCCACATAAATCCCCCCAAAGTCTCGTCGAGCTTCAACTGAAGCAGTATACGTTCGGGCCTGTTTGGCTGCCTTTCACTTTGCATAGGATCTACATACTTTGACCACTACCGACCGATCTAGAGAGAGATCGCCTCTAAGGACCCCAGCATGTCGTTCCTTTACGTCGTGGCCCTCTTGGTGGCCAGCATCTGTTCGGTGACCGCCCAGACATGGACATCATGCAACCCTCTCAAGAAGACCTGTCCGGCTGATCCAGCCCTGGGTATGAATACTACATTCACTTTCAACCAGACTCTCGACGCTACCATCTGGAACGTTACCAACGGAGCCTTGTCGCACACCAGTGAGGGAACCCAGTTTACCATCACAGGAGAGAACCAATCGCCCACGATGCAGTCGAATTTCTATATCTTCTTCGGTATTGTCGAGTCCCACGTCAAGATGGCCAAGGGTGCCGGTATCATCAGCAGTATCGTGCTGCAGTCGAACGATCTGGACGAGATTGACTGGGAATGGGTGGGCTACAACACCAGCGAGGTCCAGTCCAACTATTTCGGCAAGGGTAACAATGAGACATTCAACCGCGGCGGCTATCACTATGTCCCCAATGCCGACACGGAATTCCACAACTACACCACTCACTGGACCCAAGAGAAGCTGGAGTGGTGGATTGACGGCAACCTCGTCCGGACCCTGACATACGAAGACTCCCAGGGGAACGGCACGTATTACCCGCAGACTCCTTGCAACATCCGTTATGGCATCTGGCCTGCCGGTATCAAGTCGAATGCGAAGGGCACGATCGAATGGGCCGGTGGTCTGGTGGACTACTCGAAAGCCCCTTTTAGCATGGTTCTCCAGAGCGTCCGTGTGCATGATTTCCACACCGGCAAGGAATACAACTACACCGATCACTCTGGAGCCTGGCAGAGCATTGATGTCATCTCGTAAGTTTGCCGCTGTTCTTGGCAAAATGCATACTAATGCGATATCGACAGGGGTAACTCCACCGTCGCCAATGCCATCCTCAACCCACCAAAATCCCTGTCCGAGAAGTGGGCCGAACTCCCGAGCGGAGCCAAGGCCGGTGTATACATCGGGGCCGGGTGCGTTGGAGCTGCCATGCTCGCCGGATTCATCTTCTTCTTCATCGCGCAGCGCAAGAAGGGCCGTCTCGAACACGCGCTCGAGGATGCCAAGTGGACCAATGAACGCACCGAAATGAGCACTTTCCAGAACGATTGGAAGCAGAGCGAATGGAAACACAAGGGATACCAGCCGGTCAATTAGCCCCTGCCGTTGCAACTTGTCTCGTTTTTCTTCCGCTCAGCAAGGGATGTCCCCACCTTGATGCTCTTTTACCGTCTCTGTATGGTGTTTCAGATACCTACTGTTTCCCCGTGCTGCTTTGCTGGTCAAACCGGCGCGGTGGCATCTATGGGACTCGGGGTTGGGCGTCTGTTTGGTAGACTAGGTCTTTCACCTCCATGTTTCCTGTCGAATCTTTCCTCATCTCCTCATGTCCACATGTCGTGTCAGATCCGCTGACTCTTCTTGTCATTTGATCGTCTCGGCTTCGTTCCTGCTTTGTATTCGTATATACCAATGCGCATGTATTTGAATTTATTGCCTTTGCTCAATCTAGCATTCATTGACTGTCGACATGTGCAGCTCTGGTTATAGATTAGCAACCAAGCAAAGCATGATAGCCTCTCTATAGGTGTAGAGCGGAGTATATAAAGTAGCCACTGGTACATGTATACTACAACCACCTCTTCTCATCCGACCCCAAAGGCTTCGGCATAACATCCCACCCCACCTCAACCCCCTCCACCGCAGCAGAATGCTTCACAAACGTCATCTCCCCGAACCCCGTCTGCCTCGTCTCGAGGTACTCTCCTGGCACATCCGCCTGACACGTATAATCCCGCCCCTCGAACCCCGTCCTCCCCTCATACTGCCCCAGCGACCGCAGATACTTCATCACCCCCGCCAGCGACACATCCACCGCCCACGAACCCCCCTCAACAGCCTGCCGATACACCGCCGCCTCAATCCCCGCCGCCAGGAAATACCCCGCCGCATGATCCAGTACCTGGCACGGCGCCGCGCGCCCCGCCTCCCCAGCGCCGTAGTGCTCCGCCTCGGACACGTTCATCCCGGAACACGTCTGCACCAGCGAGTCGAAGCCGCGGTGCGCCCGCCACGGACCCGTTGGACCATACGCTGACAGATTCGCGCAGATGATCCCCTTGCCAGCCTGCGCCGCCCGCGCCGCCAGCGCCTGCTCTGAGAATCCCCGCGCCGCGAGAGCTCCCGGCCGGTACCCCTGTACGAACACGTGGGCGTCGTCAAGCAGCTGCCAGAGCTCTGCGTCCCCTTCAGGCGAGGAGAGATCGATCTGGATGGTGCGCTTGCCGCGGCCGAATTCCCGGTCGATGGGGGGCAGGTCGGGAAGGTTGGGGGAGGTTACCCAGAGGACGTCTGCGCCATGCGCGGCGAGCGTCTTCCCTGAGAGAGGGGTGGCGATGACGCGGGAGAGTTCGAGCACGCGTAGTCCGCGGAGGCACTTGTCTGCCGGTGTGCTGCGCATGGACTGCGGCAGGCCTGGCGGTGCATCGCCGATACGGCGGAGGAGGATGGGGAGGTCGGCGACGGCACGGGCCTGCGGGGTGACGTCCCACTGGGCGTAGGATCTCAGGGCGGAGATGACGCAGCCGGAGTCGAAGGCGGCGGTTTCGAGGTCGACAGAGCGCCAGGGCGCGATGGCGGCGCTGACGGCGGGGCGGTCGGCGTCTGGTGGGCAGCCTAGTAGGACTTTTGCGCCGTTGCTGTGGTTGGGGAAGCCATCGTGGACGCGGACGTGGCCGTCGGAGGTCTTGTGGAGGCCGCTGAGGGGGCCCCAGAGGTTTTGGACGGGTTGGCCCGCGAGCGTGTACAGTCTCTCGGACTTGAATTCAATGACGGCGTGCTGGCGCGGCACGCTCACCGCGGGAACTGGGGAGGCAGTGCGGAGGGCGTATATCTGCGCCGCGAGGAGGGCGGAGAGCCCGATGGATGCTTGCGCGAGGTCGGCTATCTTGAAGGACGAGGGGAGGCCCGGTCCGCTGCCTTTTAGGTCGAGGGCCTCCAGCGACTCGGCGGGGAGTCCGAGGTGCTTCCAGATATAGTCCACGCTGTCTTTTGCGGAGAAGGATGTCCTGTCTGGGACAGGCTGTCTTTCGGACTGTGCCTGAGCCATATTGTACGCGGGTGTATGTAGGCTTTGTAGGCTTCTATATTGAAGTTTAAACCTTGACGTTGTTATTGACAATCGTCGCTGCGTGAGGATCAAGGTTCTCATGTCCGCATGTCACCTTGTATGGCAACCGTTTAATCCAGTCGGTCTAGTAGTTGTCAATATATACTAAGTCATGGGATGCCACTGACTCAACCGGATAAGATGCCGAATACGAATCCGCTCGGCAGTCGGAACAGAAGATATTCAACATCATCTGCCTAGGAATTGAGTCCAATATACCTACAGCATAGTTCGAAGCTCGCTCATGGGGTTTAAAAAAAAATTATTTTTACTATGGTTAGAGTAGGGAAAGGTTGGGTGGAAGGGAAAAACAAAAAAGGATGCGATCCCGGTGCGACTCGAACGCACAACCTTTAGTACCGGAAACTAATGCGCTACCATTGCGCCACGAGACCAGATTCTATGCATTTAGTAAGAAAATTAACTTGCATACAGAAAACCATAGAACGTTGTCGTCCCATCACCACTTGACTCTCTCCGAGTACTCCTTTTTTAAGTCGTACAAACAAACACTTTACCTCTCTAATTCCCGAGCGTTATCCGCCCCATCTGGACCCTTTCTGGAAGAGCTCTCTATATGCAGACTTATGTGTGCCAGAAAATCATGAGGCAAACACATGTGACTGACAATTTGCGGGATCTTGGTCTACTCCAGCCAGCCGAGATGCCACCCATGTCCAATCTATGCGGCAAAATTCATTGTTTACTGACTTTTTAGTTGACCAAGACGGAGGATTCTTGAGACCTGATCGACAGACTGTATACTCGGTCGAGATTACTAGATGGAGGTGCGTCGTACGAAATTCCCTGATTCAGTGATGTTCACCGAGATTTAGTTCACCCCGGGTTACCTACTAGTCGGGTATATCGTTGCACTGCTGAGGATGATTGCAGGTCTCGCTATCTGGGTAGCCTGTTGTTGTCCCGTCCTTCCCCTGCATTCGACGAAAACGCGTGGCTTGAGTGCGCTCTCTGTTGTCGTCACTCGGTGTTCCTGAAACCGGCATGATAGCCTGCATTGCTTGATGCTTTGCGGAGTAAGGTGCCTGACATGCTGTACTATAGCCTCGCGGTACTATGGCATTACGATTCATGATTAGTCCCTAGCCGAGAAGTTTTTTGATCGACAGGATGACGATTGGAGATTACGTAGTCGAACATCCCTTTGTGTCTCCCCTGCCGAAACACTGATCTATCTGATGCCGCTATCCATGCAGGCTGCAGCCGTCGAGGTTCTCTCCATGATCAATAGCATGTGGAGTCTCGGGCGAAGACTTCACACACTCATCATGCAATCTACGTCGACTGCTAATTGGTCCTTCGGAGTGGAGTCTTCAGATGTGGCATACTATGCTACAGCAGGTGTATTTATATTGAAGAAGTTCCCCCTCCGAACTTCTCTCTCTTGCATTGTCTTCACAATCTCTTCTACTCTTGAGCCGCAATTGTTCTTCTAAGGATATCATGCCCCCGTTCGCTTTCAGGGGCCTCGCGGCGATGGCCCTGGGCGCTGCAGTCGCCCAAGCCCAGCTCTGGGACAAAATCATTCAGACCAACTATGGCCCCGTTCAAGGCTTCAAGTACTTCAACGAGTCTACGCTTGAGAAATTCTTTGGCATCTCCGAGTCCAATGTGACGGCTTTCTTAGGCATCCCCTTTGCAGCGGATACCGGTTATCAAAACCGCTGGAAGCCGCCCCAGCCCCGCGAACCGTGGAACGAGACCTTGAAGGCCACCCAGTTTGGCCCTCGCTGTCCAACCGATGAGTCCAGCTACATAAGCGAGGACTGCCTGAGCCTGAATCTATGGACTAATGCAGGCTCTGCGGATGCTAAGCTGCCTGTCATGGTCTGGAACCAGGGCTCGGATGAGACTAGCAATCAGACCTGGTGGTATGGTGGCGGGATGGCATTGAAGGATGTCATCCTCATTACCTTCAACCGCAGAGACGATGTGTTTGGATACCTGGCCCATCCGGAGCTGAATGCAGAGGGACTGGCAGTCACTGGTCACAACACGTCAGGAAACTATGGTGTTCTTGATCAACTCGAGGTGCTGAAATGGGTGAAGAAGAACATCGCCAACTTCGGTGGTGACCCTGACCGGGTGGTAGTGGCCGGTCAGTCCTTTGGGTCTTCCCAGGTTTACCATGCGGTGAACAGCCCGCTGTTCAAAGGCTACTTCCATGGTGGCATCTCTCAGTCTGGCATCCGATACCCATATGACCCGCTGCTGGCTGGTCTTGCCACTTCTTATGTTAACATGTCCACGGCTCTTATCCACGGTGCCGACTACATCGCCGCCCATAATGTCTCCAGCATTGCCGAATTGCGGAAATTGTCCATGGAGGAGGTGCTGGTCGGCTCGCAGGACCGTGTCAACGGCACTTGGATCTCGTGGGTCACTGCACTGTCTGCTGGTTATCCCCTGATCTTCAAGCCAGTCCTCGACAACTATGTTCTCCCCTCAAAGTACATCGAGACGCTCCTCAACGGCCCCGCCAACGATGTCCCCGTTATCACAGGCAACACCAAGGACGAGTCTGGCGCCTCCCCGTCCACCGACTACACCGTGGAGCAATACGAGAACTACACTTCGCACAAATACGGCGACCTCTACAACCGCTACATCAAGCTGTACCCGGACAACGGCAACCAAAGCACCGCCGACATGTCCTGGAACGCCGCGGCCCGCGACGCCTCCCTTGTCGGCTCGTGGGCCTACGCCACCGAGTGGTACAAGGCTGCGTCCGCCCCGTTCTACACCTACTACTGGACTCACGCCCCGCCCGGCCAGAACCAAGGCGCCTTCCACCAGTCGGAGATCATGTATGCCCTGAACGCTCTATACGCCAATGCCGATCAGTACCCTTTCACCGAAGCAGACTACGAGATCCAGGAGAAGATGTCCGCCTACTGGGCCAACTTTGCAAAGACGCTGAATCCGAACAAGGGCGGCTCTTACACGGGCAAGGGGGCATTGCCGCACTGGAGCCCTAACAGCCCTAATGGCACCCAGGTGGTCATGGAACTGGGCAATGCATTCACTAATGTGCCCATTGCCAAGAAGGAGCAGGTTGAGTTTCTGATGGAGTGGTACCACCGACAGATCCCATATTAGGTGCTACCTGAGCAGTAGGTGTCATGTTTTCAGGAATGGAAGCGTTAGATGTGCTGCAGATGTAGAATAGCGTATAGCCTAAGATAGCAAATTGAATGGCCTACAACCATCCACCAGCATGTCTCTGGTAAAATAACTCCAAGTTAAAAAACGAAATGCAGACGAAAAACAAAAAATAAAGCAAACGTTGAATTGCCTACACACGTCGGACCAAGGATGCGGATGAAAAAAAGAAGCAAAAAGAAACGATCCCGGTGCGATTCGAACGCACAGCCTTTAGTACCGGAAACTAACGCGCTACCATTGCGCCACGAGACCGGATTGATGGCTTTGGGCAGATTTTATGCTACACATTCTAGCTTACACAAATGCATAAGATAATGCAGCTACGGAGTCCCTATGTCACCCTGGAGTACCTACACAGTAGGTAGGCACCAGTTTGGATGAGCCAATCATATGGCCGCATTAAAATAGGCCTAACGGAGTCTCCGTCGGTTGGGAAAGACCATCAGTCTTGGACCCCTTGGTTCGCCTTCTAGACTCTTTAATCTCCTAGTCCCGTCGGGCAACCTTTTCCCTAATCTGGGGTCCTCTCCGATCTGTGGACTTGTGAGTCGTGGACATATCCGTGTCCATTTTCTTTTTTAAGCACCGGTGGATTTACCACCGACTCTCCGATGCATTCTTTTTTTTTGTTTTTGGCCTGCAAACTGCCAGCACGGCAAGCCGAGGATCTCTTTGGAGATGCTGGTCCACTCAGTGCCGAAGGATTATGCGCTTATACGGTCTTTGAATTCACAACTCGACCCACAACTCTTGACACAACTATCTATGACATAACCCCATCTAGCTGGAGCTGATCTTCCTCGGTACTTCTCATCTTCTCAGGCATAGGGAGGTGTTTTATGATATAATCCAAAACTCTGATGCATTTAGATCTCACGTGTGTCGTTGATCGCCAACCATACGTGGGGTTGGAAGGGATTTAAATCCTTCGAACCCCTCCTTGCGTTGTCCACCATGTCTTATCATTATTTATCCATTTTCCACCTTGTATAGTAACATTATTAAACCTGAAGACTATCATTGAAGTTTCAATTTACTCCCATGATTCCGGAGCATCTGTGATATCTCACGCACCATGAGCGACTCGAAAACGATCCCCATCCCGGGGCCCAGAGGAGTGCCTCTGCTGGGAAACATTTATGATATCGAGCAAGAGGTGCCTCTGCGAAGTATTAATCTGATGGCAGATCAATATGGTACATAGGCCTGGCTTAATCTTCCACGCTTCTCTCCAGCTAACTATTCACAAGGCCCTATCTATCGACTGACAACGTTTGGTTGGTCCAGAGTATTCGTCAGCACCCACGAACTCGTCGATGAAGTCTTCGACGAAGAGCGATTCACAAAGGTCGTCTCAGCGGGATTGAAACAGATTCGAAACGGAGTTCACGATGGCTTGTTCACGGCCAATTACCCCGGGGAGGAAAACTGGGCGATTGCACATCGTGTGCTTGTTCCGGCCTTTKGACCTCTGTCCATTCGAGGCATGTTTGACGGTAGGGTGCCTAATCAACCGTGACCTGCGCTTCTCTGACATGACAGTCAGACATGTACGACATCGCGACGCAGCTCGTCATGAAATGGGCGCGACAAGGACCGACCGTTCCTATTATGGTGACCGATGATTTCACCCGATTGACCTTGGACACGATTGCCCTTTGCGCGATGGGAACCCGTTTCAATTCTTTCTACCACGAAGAGATGCATCCTTTTGTCGAGGCCATGGTGGGCCTGTTGCAGGGATCCGGTGATCG